ACTTTGCACGTGTCAATATTAGTCACTGTTGCTGCAGAACAAATGGCCCCCAGATTTAGTGCTGACCATGGGCAGCACTGTGATCTGTATCTGAGGTGGCTCAACTGACTGGCTCTGGCTCAGGGCATCTCCTGAGGTTGCTTTCAGCTGTGGCTACAGTTGCCTCAAGGCTTGGCCAGGGACAACTCTCTCCCTCTCCCAAGCTGAGCCTCACTGCTGTCCGGGGCCATCTTCCGTGTGGTGGCTGGCAGACCTTGGTTCCTTGGCATGTGGGCCTCTCCTCGGGCTGCGTAGGTGACCTCTCAGCTTGCCAGTGACTTCTGCTAGAGCCAGCTGGGCTCAAGTGACAGAGGAAGTGAGACAGTCCGGCCAGGACCGATGTCAGGGTTCTTTAACCTGACCTTGGACATGTGTTTCAAAGCACTACGAGGTCCACTTGTTCCAGCACTGTCTGTTGAAAGGACTTGTCCTTCCTTATTAAATTGCCTCTTCATTTGTGTCAAAAACTAATGTCCAAATTTATGTGGCTCTACTTGTGGACTCTCATGCTGTTGTTCCATCAGATAGTTTTATATGAAAATATATGCTAACTGAAATTTAATTCACATTATTTGTTTGAATGATTGGAGGTCAGAAAGCCCATTTTGCCCTCACACAAGCACACTGCATCCTCTTGTGGTAACAGCCTGACGTCTGACCACCCTCATGGCTGCCCCAGGTCTGCAGTGAGCACAGCATGGCCGTGACCGCAGGGGTTCCAGGCTGGAGGCACAAGGAGGGGATTTGTAGCAGGAGGGGAGGTGTGAACAAGCAGTGCCCTTTCAACATGACCTTTGTTTTCCTCTCTGAGGACTGAAAGCTTAGGTTTGCAGCCCTGCAGTACAGTGGCCGGCTATCTGGGGCTGAAAGGACCAGACTCCCGACTAGATTATGAAGCTGTTTTAAAATCAAAGACTGAGAAAAAAGAGAACCCAACCCAGATAACCAGACCCTTCACCCCTGTGGTTTAGTGTCACTTCATTTCCCAAACAAAATCTGTTTCTGAAAGTTTAATTAAAATACCAATGAACGGCACATTTTTTCCTTTGTATATTTGGTACGTGAAAGCTACATTAAAATCAATTAAAATATGTATATTAGGAAAGACTGCTTTGCCCGAAACAAATTAAAAGGCAAGTAACAAACTGAGAAAATATTTGCACTATTCTTATCACAAGAAAGGATTAATACTTTATTATTTAGAAAAGAAAAAATATATGTGCAGTACCAATAAAAACAGCACTGATGATCATGCAAAGTGTAGCTGAAAAGATACAAGTGAATCATTACCTAGGAAATTTAAACGTTACTAGTCATCAAATGAATAACAACTAATGATCTTTCCCCATCCGATTAATAAAGGTGAAAATTATGTTACACGCAGTGTTGAATGAACATTTTCATATTCTCAGTTTTAAAGTAACCATTGTTCTAAATATTCTGGAAGGCCATTCAACAGTCTACTATAAGAACTATAAAAAGTATCTGTGCCCCTTAGCCTTTTAAGGAAAACTGGAAATCCCCACAAAGGTGTGCACAAATTTTAATCAAAGCAAATATGTATTAGTGAGTGAGTGGTTAAATAATACCTAACACCTTCAGGAACTAGACGGGGCAACATTTAAAACTCAGAGCGTGACTTTACTCCCTCACTCCCCACTTCTCCTGCCCTCCTCCCTTTCTAAAAATAAATTGAGTAATGAAAAAAATAGTTAAAAAAACATTTTTAGG